GGGTAAAGCAGAACATAATGGTGAAATGACAGTATCAATATTTCAAAAAACAATAAAATTGTTTTGTTTGCTTTGGATAAATAAGGGAATCACTTGGTAAAAATATTTATAGTGGCTTTGTGCATTTAGAAAGCCAACCTTGGTGACATACCTGGTGTTAGAAAACTTTTGACACCATATTTAGATTCTCAGATCTATTCAGTGCTAGCAAAACCACATTTTTCTGTGACAAACTTGGTCAAATTAAATATTTGCAAGAGGTCTTAATTTGCTAAATATTCCTGCAGTCTGTGGTACTTCGATGTTTACTTGGTTCTTGTTTTAATATTTTATATGTTGCTTGGAAAATGGAAAGTGTTACTTTTCCTAAGTTGAATATGGCTGGATTGCTGCGTGCTTCACGTCTCCTGGGTATGAGTCAGCTGAGCACTGTTTCTTACAGTCTCTGGGCTCAAAAGTTGTTTGTTCAGATATGGGAGAGACATTGCAAGAAGGTCCTGGGGATGGATTTGAGTTACATCTCTGCAAATGTTAGTGTGTGTGGTTGTTAGTTCATAAACCATGTGCATCTTCTCTAAAGATTTAATAAATTGAGGTTGCTGCATTTTAACCGTACCAAAATTAAATATGTTTCTCCATCACAGACATGTTTAAGCTATGATTGAAATATAATCTGATAATACTTTGTTCTGAATAAAACCATGAGGGTGGAAAGGCTGTTAAGGAAATTTCTGATTAGTTTTATAATAAACTTCAGGACAGGAAAATCTCTTTGAAGTTCTGTCTTGATGGACCTTAGTAAACAATAGAAGATGATAGAATCTTGTAACGAAAATTAGTTTTGCAGATGAAGGGATATATAACTCATGCTTTCAAGCAGAATAAACAAGGTTTCAGGCTGAGCTTAAACTGAGTTCCTGTGAAGTTATGAATGAGCTGGGATTCCTAATGAATTTACAGAGAGTTTACACTGGAACAAAATGTCTTGACAGCTGTCTTCCTAGTATTTGGGCTTAGAATATAAAACCCTCCACTGCTGGTATCCCACACATTTCAGGGAGATAAAGTTTTGTTACTTAGCTTACGACAAGGAGAGGCAGCGATTTACTGTTGTAATGACTATGCTAATAATGGGATGCTATTTCCCCCCCCCCCCCACAGTAAGATGGCGTGCGTTTTCCCCCCCCCCCCCGAATAATTTGTGTTAATGAAAATTTTCTGATTACTGCAGGAGAAAATTGTCACTAAGGTATTTTTAGCCAATCCCACAGTATTTCAGCAGAAAAGAAAAATAATTTGGCAAGCTTCCTTGCTATATCAGAGACCTTTTGGGTGCCTCATGATGCTCCTACAGCTTTCATGCCATGTGGCGGGTCATGGCAGGAGATACTCTATCCTCTCTCCCAGGGTCCCCTGCCCTGCCCTTCAGGGGCTGCAGTGGGTCACTGAGATCATGACCCGTATGGGTCCCTGCCTGGGCAGGCAGATGCTGCATGTGCAGTGTTAAGGAGATGAACCTGGTCTTCTGGGTAGGGTCTGTGCGGTCTTTGGAGATAGTACAGACCCTTAAATACAGCTTCAGAGGCAGAAAACAAAGGATTCCTCTTCCAAAAGACTATCACCCTGAAGGACACCACAAGGACAAACTTCCTTCACCTTCTCATTGCACTGTTTCCTCTTTGGAGACATTCATCCCTATGTTGAGGTCCTTTCCTATTTCCTATTCCTATTTCCTATTCCTATCCCTTCCTTTCCTAATACACTGTGTTTCTGTGCCTCTTGCCCATTTTCCCACGGTTTCAGCAGTCAGGCTGCCTCTTTTTGCATGCCCCAACCTACTGCTCAGATAAATTTGCGCCCTCTCCCTCTTCCAGCAAAAAGGAGGCAAAATTTATTTCCATAAACAACATTTGCAGCTTGAGGGACCAGCTCTTCAAATTGCAGCTTTTGAGGAGTCTCATCGTTTCTCCAGGAAGTGATGATATAGCAGAGATTAATTACCAACCATTAATCCCAAATATTTTGTGTTCATATTACGTGTTAAATAAATATCCCTTATGAAATGTTCTGAGGGGAATTTAATAGTGTATATAATGTATGATTGTGTGTATGTGTACAGTGCAGGTTCCCAAGCAGTTCTGTGGATGAGGTGCAGCATTGTGTGAAGAAGCAACTAAAAGCACAGCATGGCTAGATTCTTCTTGATCTTTCTTTCTGGAGGCATTTGACTGAGATATGTATTCTCTAAGAGAGATTAGGAGTCACATAGAGCGGTGTAGTCACAAATTCCCTAAGACAGGTGAGAAGTATCAGCAGCTCTGCTTAGATGTAGGGAATGGTTTGGGTCAGAAGCGACCTTAAATACCACTTAGTTCCAACCCCACCTGCCATGGGCTAGGATGCCTTCCACTAGACCAGGTTGCTCCAAGCCCCCTCCAGCCCGGCCTTGAACACTGCCAGGGATGGGACATCCA